TCCTGCTGTAATTATTGAGGTAAAACCATACTGAAAAAATCCTCACTATATCTTGTTTTCTTAACATTCTTCTCTGCGCGATCCATTGTCATGGGATGGTTTGCTAATGAAAATAATATATAACAATGGCTTTAATAATACAAAAGATGATACATGGCATAGTTCAGTCAATACAGCTCATTAAAGTTTCCTATGATTTACCATTCTCTGTGTTGTTGTTTTTTACATACCTATTACTATCACAAGGGGGCAGTATTCACATTAACCACAGCTGAATATAAAAAGACCGATCAGCATCCAGATTAAGTTCCCATGGTACAGATTTTTTTTTATTTTTTGCAGTAGTTGATGATTTTACAGTACATGATTTTACATTTACCCAGTAATTATAATTCATGAAGTGTCGTTTTACCTCCAATACTGCTGCTTTCAGCACAGCAGCTGCTTTCTACACAGTAGCTGCTCTCTACACATGTGTGACTGGTCCGCATAAGTACATTATGGTGCCAACCCTGTCATATACACCTGTATTTGTATGGGGTGTATGTGATGGGGTTGGCACGATGATGTCATCATGCCGGGTACTGGTATGTGGGTATATCTGCATGTGGGCGGACCCGCCTGGAGACGGATAGAGGAGTGGTGTCTCAGTTCCTAATACCATCGAAAATATGTGTTTTCCAATGGTCTTAGGTGACCCCTGTGCACGGGTCGTTCGACCCCCAAAGGGATCGCGACCCACAGGTTGAGAACCCCTACTCTAAAGAGTTCTTTCTAAGGGGGTATTGTTTCTTCCATGGAATCCATGCCCCTTTTTTACAGGCAATTTACAAAATAAATCTCAGCCCAATGTTGAAATGAGGCAGTCTGGCACATAAAGAAAACTGCATATGTTTTATTTTTTTAATTTTATTTTATTGTTTAAAGTATTATAGATACTAGTACATATGTCTCCTTCCCCCTCACCCCCATTGACCATCCCCCAGCCTCCGCTACCCTCCCCACCCCTGGTACCTTTACTGCTGGTGGGAATGCAGACTGGTGCAGCCTTGTGGAAAACAGTATGGCGTTATATCAAAAAGTTAAAAATGGAACTCCCATTTGACCCAGTAATACCACTTCTAGGAATATATCCCAAGAAAACAGAAACACCAGTCAGAAAGGATATATGCACACCTATGTTCATAGCAGCACAATTTACAAGCATGGATGGAACTGGAGAACATTATGCTAAGTGAAATAAGCCAGGAAGTGAAAGGAAAATACCACATGATCTCACTCATTTATGGATAATAAAGAACATTATAACCTGATGAAATAAAGATAGATACAGAGGCAGAGAAGCATTGAACAGACTGTCAAATTACAGTGGGAAAGCTGGGGAATGTTGAGGGGTGGTAAGAGATCAACTGAAGGACTTGTATGAATTCATATAAGCCTAACCAATGGACACAAGACACTTGGGGGGGGCGGGGGTGAGGGCAAACTGCATATGTTTTGATCACCAAGCTGACATTCTAGAGCAGTGGTTCTCAACCTTCCTAATGCTGCGACCCTTTAATACAGTTCCTCATGTTGTAGTGACCCTCAATTTCATTGTTACAAATTGAACATAATTAAAGCATAGTGATTAATCACAAAAACAATATGTAATTATATATGTGTTTTCCGATGGTATTAGGTGACCCCTGTGAAAGAGTCATTTGACCCCCATAGGGGTCATAACCCACAGGTTGAGAACCGCTGGAGCAGGGGTGGGCAAACTTTTTGACTCGAGGGCCACAATGGGTTCTTAAACTGGACCAGAGGGCCGGAACAAAAGCATGGATGGAGTGTTTGTGTGAACTAATATAAATGCAAAGTAAACATCATTACATAAAAGGGTATGGTCTTTTTTTTTTTTTTTTTTTAGTTTTATTCATTTCAAATGGGCCGGATCCGGCCCGCAGGCCCCATTCGGGTCCCAGTTGGGCTCTATCAAGGGCATCACCCCAGCTATGTTGTGGGTCCCTTTAAGATTCTCTTGATGAAGGTGATGAGCCCTTTATTAGCCTTATCTAAAATTAGGCACCTTTCATCTGTTATTAGCAAGATGTTAAGAATAGTCTATATATCTGCCCAGTTTGGATGGTAAGAAGCAAAAATAAAGGTGATAAGATATGCCATTTTCTGAGGATCCTTTCTATATGAGAGATTGAAATTCTTCCAATTCAGTAAATCTGAAGTAGAAAATGGACTATGGGCCCAGTATTGTCCAGCAGGCTAACCTTCCTGGTTTATTCATCCTATAAACTATTGACTCAAAGGGCATTATCCTGCTCAGTATATGGGTATTTCCTGGCTAAATTGGGTGTCCTGCCAGGTTTCAAGAGAGAAATAGATAATACCTTCCTCATGCGGCGGTGCGCTGTTGCCCCTCTAGAAGTGGGGGTGATGACAGGGGAAATCTTTCTTCTATTAATCCTGGGTCCCCTAGATTCAGGACCTTAAAGAAACTAATATCCTCATTTTCCTTTTCTTACTGTTTCTTACTATAATTCGGGGGTTTTGAAGCCAGTTCTTTAGTCTTCATCATTAGGTTGTTCCCTTACATTGCCAAATCTTTATTGACTAAAGATATAAACACTTAGACACAAGAGATTTTGTCCCATGTCCCTGATCATTGACAAAACAATTCCAACTGTATGATGGTGTAGTAATTTAGGGAATCATTTAGAGGCAATTTTCCCCATAGTCTAAAGTATGCACATTATAATGCCAAGCAGTATTACAATAGGGAAAAAAAATTCTTCTTAGTCATTGGATCATAGATGTACATGGACCAATCTGCTAAATTTCAGCCCAGTGTTCTCCCATAGGAGTCAAAACAGCACAACCCCTCAAGGCATGAAAGTACAAAGACGAAGCCATAAACATAGAAAGATTCAAGACAAAGTAGGAACAGATGAGTAAAACTTGGATCCATAATTCCATTATTGCAAACAAGTGCTCACAAGAAAGTCCTGGAGTCTTATATCCTGCCAACTATTACCACAAAAGGTCCTGTTCAGACCAAAGTGGCACAAAGCCCTAGTAGCACAAAGCCCAAATGGCATAAAATTTAAGTTGCATGAAGTCCAAGTGGCATGAAGCCCAAGTGGAATTAAACAGTAGAGACAGAAGCCTTCTGGTGTGTATGCTGGTTAAATTAACCAAGTTTTGGATTATGTCTACTTCCCCAAACCCATTTTCTTTCACCAGCTAAGCATTTCAGGCGGCTAATGCCTTGAGAAGGAGGGCTGGGAAATTACCAGAAAAAAGCTCTCAACAGTGCTAGAAGTCCCCACAGTCTGATTAACAAGGTCTGCCTGCCACAGGGAGGTAGGACCCCAGCTCGGGCACTTTGGGATCTACTAAGTTCCATGTTGTCCCACCAGAATTGCCAAAACCTGTAACTGAAATGCAAGTTTGGCTGCCTGCTGCAATGAAAGCCAAACTCATTAGATAGGTGCTCATTTAAAAGGAAAGTGGTTTATCCAGGTGCCACAACATGGGAGAATGGTGGACTCTCATTTCAAAGACTATTCCCCCTCCTTGTTCAAGCCTGCAGTTCTTATAGGGATAGGGAAGGGAGGGCTCTTTTTTTATCTAATTATCTTGCTAGATTTTGGTGCTCTTGGCCCTGCCTGTTCACTCATCTTTCTAGCTTTTGACACTCTCAGTGCAAAACCTTCCCCTGTGCCATCCTGACAAATGGGGGAGAATCCCGGGCATGTCCTGTCTATAGTATCAGACTCAGTTTGTGGGGGAGGTGCTGCAGGATCTGCCCTTATGAAGCCTGGATATGCCACAGACTTCACCCTCCTGCCAACACTGGGTGTGATGCCTGCACATCAAGGTGAGCCAATTTGAATGCACCCCTGGATTCTGACACACCTATGATCTCTGTATAGCACCTGCCAGACCTGACCCTCTAGGGTAGCCAGCCAGTCCAGTACTCACCTTGCCTCTGGCTTCCCATGCTCCAACTAACTGTTTATGATAATAGTACTAGCATCATTTATCAGCATCATTCTTCCACATACACTTAACTTCTGCCATTCTGAAGTTCTTTTAAATATTTAGACAATATTTCTCTTTTCTCAAAAATTTATAAATACTGTGCCTCCAGGCTTAGAACATAATTGGACCAAAATGTTATTACTTTAAAGTATTTTATTTAATCCAGGATTTTAATTAATTCTTATTGATCTGTGTTTAGGGTTTACTTTATATCTCATTGTTTAAACAAATATTTTTCGTAAAGATTATGTTTTAGTAATTCTGCAGGTTTCCTCATGCTGGGAATAAGAGGTTATCTGTATTGAGCTACTTTCTGGCCATCAATGTACTTGTGAGGCAGGAAACCTAAATAGAAGTGCCAGGTCCTTCTCCCTCCCCTTACTAAGAAAACACACTTGCAAGAGGAAATAAGTTTACCTTAGGAAGAAAGTCACAGAGACAAACAAGGACCAATTCTATCCAGTTAGATCAGGCACCCTTACTGGAAAGTGACTATAGCCAATTATTATACCATTATAACATCATTTATATTGCAGATAGACCAGTATCCATCATGCACTGCGGCCAAGACAGTTCTATAAAGGACCACATAAGGACATAACCTCTCCCTCCATTGGAAAAGTGGTCCCTTTCCTGCTTAACCTCAGCTCCACCTATAACTGCTCCATGAGTCTCTCCCCATTAGTCCAAAATATAAGCCTAACCCTTGAAACTCTTGGGGTGACTAATTCTTGAGTCTTCCTGCACTCTCCAAGTGTGCACTTTCACTTTAATAATCCCTCTAAACTTCACTGAATTGTTCTGTCTCACTCTCGAATCCTTTCTTATGCAATAACAAGAACCTGGACACTGCACTGGGTTGAGGCCTCACTGTAGGTCTCCAACATCACTTAGA